TCCTCTACGTTATCAACTCCCTATAGTATTGGACGACCTCGATAATAAATAATTGTTTGCAAATGCAAAATATCGATAATTGTTCAAATATATTATTACACAAGGGAGTATTCCAATACGATGCATTCGCGAGAAGGAATATGATCATCTCGAAATTCACCGGATGCATGTGCTTTGTATGGTCTGTCATGATGTACTTTGCGACGTTGAAGAGCCGTTCAACCATGTTGCTCGTTGGACCGACAAACTTCAAGCAGCAGTACTTGCTTGCTGTTGGTCCCATTCGGCGACTTTTGGAGCCAAAAGTTCGTCCGCGTAGCTCAACGGCGTGCTGGGGACTGCAACCGTGCCAGGATCCAACAGGAGCATGACCAATGCATCCTTCTCAACAGCAGTCAGCTGCGTAACGACACCATTGTCAAAATGGTGGGGGAAGGTGTGTTGAGGATAATTGGACGAAGCTTGAAAACAGATTATCAATATCTGTTGGCACTAAAAATAGATTATTCCATCCAACTTCACATAAGAAATAGATTATTTTTGCTATCTTATCTAGATTATAATATCAAAGATATATTAAGTCCGAAGCCTGCTACCCACACAACTGTGGTGCCACGTAACGAGCAGATTGTTGATATGGTGCAGGCATTCGTTCGGGACCGACGAGCGACGGCAACCCTCACGACGGCCGTTAATGTCATGGTGTACCTTAATGAGGTGTTTGTGCTCGAGTATGACAATGAGAACAAAAAGCAGTACGACGCAACACTGCGGGGTGTTCAACGGTTCTTAAACAAGAATGATACAAGCGCGGAAAGCGAAAGACGTCGACGTACCACTTGTCCACCAAGAACGTCATCAACAGTGTGGGCTATTGTCAAAAATGCCGTCGGACTGCAGTACACGGGCACTCTTTCAGTATTGCCCCCGGTCGAATTTAAAACAAAAAATCAATGTGTTTTATTATTTGTCCTCGAAATTAGTATGATCGAACAATTATAATTACAAGTCGTTTGAAAAATATATTACCACGCGCGCCACGGGGGAAAAACCACGACCACCAAAGGAACTCGTCGAGATAGCTAGGAAGGTGTTCACGATGGATACCACGCATAATCTTCGTGAACACCTTAAATACCTTGTGTGTATTGAAGGTGTGTGGGAGGTGTGTGGCTCCGTTCGCTGGGTTCACGAAGTTTTCAGAGTGGTTCACCCACTGATGCGAGTAATCCATGCCCGCCAACGCAGGATTGTGTGGCGCTCATTTGTGGACACATACGACCCGAATTGTCAGACATGATCAAGGTTCCAGGTCGTATGTGTTTTCCAATGAGCGCAGACAACACCGGCTTCGTGCGGTCTTCATACGTTAGCACGCCAAATCACTTCTTGGTCGCTCGATCAACGCCGCCAAACAACCAACACTCTGGGTGGCGCGTACCACGGTTGTGCTACGTTTCGTCAATTTCAACGACGGATCCAACACCGCCAATCTAAAATAGCTTCAATGATTATAACAGCGTCCAAACTTCTGATATGTAATATACATGAAATATGATATGAATTCGAATATATATGCATGCCAATAATTATATAAATAGATAATATGAATTCGAACAAATGATATGAAGTCATATATAAATAGATAAATTATTATATTTTGATTCATATGCTTTCATTTCAATCGAAAGCATTTCCGTAGAGCAGACATCGCGACAGAAGTTGTACCAGTCCGTTGCGGTTGCTGAAGCCACATGTAGGTCTTCAATCACGTCGGCAACCGGGCGTCGCGGGGCCAAATGCCGCATAATTCGAACAATGGTGCGGACGGGGAGATTCGACTTGGAGAAAAATGAACCCGACTTCACACTTCTTTCAATTGACCCACACGTTGCGCGTCGGCAACGCCAGCGTTCGGTGGCGGAAGACAGCTTCATGTCCTTCGCACATGCGTGTAGGGCTATACTCAAACGCTCTATGCTATGTGTTTTGAGTCTTAATCCTATTGGTCCTTAGCTTCAAACATTCGACCTTCGCGCTCAAATTGGGGGCGATAGTCACAAATGTGCGCCAAATCATCCGGATTTTATCCGGATGAGGTGATGCCCAAGTCAAGTATATTTGGTTTCAACGACACAACACATTCAAAATTGTTTTTAAATTCGACCGGGGGCAATACTGAAAGAGTGCCAGTACACGGACATGACCAAGTTTCCCGAGGTGAAAGCGCGATTCATTGACGCATTTGACAACCTGACGCATCATGCAATCAAGGGTTGTGTGACGTTGGCCGAGGGGAAACTACAAAAATTGTACGAACACCTATTACAAGTTGATGCCTTGGGGTCGAACGAGGAGTCATCTGAAGGCGGTGAAAGTGACGAGGAGTCATCTGAAGACGGTGAATGTGACGAGGGTGACAGTGACGTCGACTAGACTTTATAACCTTGAAAATAAGTGCTATAAAAACTCTTTGTATCTACACCCTGCGAAGTCTATATTCATGGGGTCGTTCGTTATTGTCGTCGACTGTAAACTGATTGGTGCATTGGAAAGGTAATGATCTCCTCTTTGATTGGCTAGTTCAAGCTCCTCCAGCAGGAGATACAAGCTTGAGAGAGTATGAGGTCGATTTTTTAAAGAGAAAATTATCCGGTCAGCGTTCAATGTCATTGCTATCTCGTGCACTCGATGCCCAATAAACTGCACATACTAGCGAGGTCCAAAGACGTTCTGCTCGCTAGTTGCGCCATGCAGCGTCGAGTCACAGTAGATAACCACATCATGCTGATATATAGCCATGACGACCCTATGAAAGATATGCTCACGAGCACCTGACAGTATAGATCTATTGTTCGTTCATTAAGGCCCCCCACATTCGGCGTTGGCCCTGACGCATAGATCTCTCGCCTTGGCACGACGGCGACCAAACATGGTGGCGGCAGATTTTGGGGCATAAACCTCTACGTATCTATACCTATACGTATTTATGGAGGCAAATTCTGAGAAATTTGCGGAATGTCATACTGAAATCAAGTCAAAAACAACATGACAATCTTTATGGACCAGAGTAGTAGATTTCAAAGAACTGCGTGGGAACTCGCGAATGGTGGCACGCTTAAATATATAGATGTTTGAATCGCTGGTGAATCAGATGGACTCTATTTTAAATAAAAATATGTGGTTCAACAATTTCTTATTCTCATCTGATTGGTTGTATTTTAGCCAATATCGCTTTTTAGCGAATACCCGTGATCGAACTCGGGACTAATTGCAATAACCGGTACCATCGTTTTGCAATTACAACATCCGAGGAAACCTCCGCTAATTAATTCGTAGTACAATGGGTACGCTGGCAAAATGCTGGATGACTATTGCAAGTAGCACTTTTGAGTGTGGGGGGTAAAGGTTAGCATGGGGGGGCATGGGTAGTGCGATCTTTTTGCATATTTAAACTTTAAACAAGTATATCACACAACCTCCAAGTATTTACATTTATTACACTAAATCTCAAAAATTTGAAGTACGTTTTTAAAAGATTTCCGAACGGTGTCCTGCTTCATATCCTCCCATACCTTAATGGTGCGCTTAATCATAGCGAGGCGCTTTTCTGCGGCAGTGACAACCTTGACCTCCGTGATCCATTCGCTGTGGTATATTTGTTTGAATCGCCCCATAACACCCACATCCAGGGGTTGAAACACACTCGTCGTGTTTGCCGGCAGCGGCTGTAGGTATGCACTGCAAAACAACTCGTCGTCAAGGATCTTGTAGGATTTCTTCTACACATGGCAGGTAAAGTTGTCCGCAAGCACGACAGACGGGCAGTCCACTTCGGGCTGCAATACTTCACGAAGCTAGAGCGATCATACACGCTGGTCCATGTAGGCCGTCTTTTGCATAGCATACACCGGGCCGGGTGGGTACGTTGGGAGCTCGTCGACGTCAATCTCACCCCCCGGAGTCCATTTGGGTGAAATGCACAATATACACGCTGCAATACTGTATAATCCTTCCACACCGCCAAGAGTTCGACCACATACCGGTAAGATCCTTACCGGTATGTGGTCTTCAGTGCAGACGACGTCGCTTCCATCGACCAGGATCATCGCGACCTGGTCAAGGCGTACAAGGACGAGCCCGGCATCAAGGCCATCATCGACGCACACTGCAACAAAACAAATTTCAACGACTGCTGGAATTGTATTGGCAGGGCGCGATTCTCACAGCTGCGCCGCTTCTGTTCGGGAATGGCGTTCGTGTTGGCGAAGACAACCTGGGTGGAGTCCGACTTCAGCATCCTGAAATGGGAGAAGGACGAGTTCCTCATGAATCTCCTCGACCTGTCGCTCGAGGGTATCTTCCAGGCCAAGCAGTTCAAGCTCCTGGGCCCAACCCAGTGCCCCAAGCAAACGATGATGATGATGACGACACGTAATGGATTGACTTGCCCCGAACTTGCAATAAATAGTTAAATACTCTCGTACAACCACCCATGTAAACTCATCCTTCAAAATGACTGATGGATGCTATATTCAGTATATGCCTACCGGCAGACGACTGAGATATCTTAATTAAGCTAATATAGGAAATTAAGATATTTACCTTAAATAATGAGGCCTGGGTAAGGTAGTAGCTAAATGTCGGACAAAGTTGTTGTATGCCCACCAATGGGGCCAAAGACGACGCCGTTTCAGGCGTCTTACATCTGGAGTATGGGATGGCTCTCGTGAAAACGGTGGCCAATGGCGTGCCGACCTGTCGTTGCTTGTGATGTGTTCATGAAGGCCGTGACGTGGTCGAGGTGGAGGGAGTCTCGGGCCGGAAGCGCAAGTCGCGCAGCGACATCATGTAAGTAAAACTTACTTCAGAAGGCCGGTCTCGCCGCACCAGTTCCGCAGCCACCTCAATATGGGCAGCACAAGGAATCATGGGGGCGCTACCAGTTGCTCTCACCCGAAGACCAGAAGACCTACTTCGCCGGCACCAACACTCTCCACAACTACTGTACATGGACCTGTTGAACTCGTCGATCGAGGACGAGGTCGAGAAGAATTTTATTGACTGTGAGGCAATTATCGCGGACTTGTTCTTTCGCGACGACGACAACGACGAAGACAGCGGTGACGTACACCATAGGATATTAAATCCGACCGTGCCTCCGACATATTTGAAACTTCAACTCATTCCGGATGGTGATGTAACTACATAAGGTATAATTGGCTACTGAAATATTTGGCTGAGCCAATTACACGTTATTTCTCAATTTGCAACGCACCCCACAAAGCAGCCCTGCTCTTCGATATTTTTGCCATGGGGAGGGCCCCTGGGACATTCCTCACCGGTAGCGTTGCCCCTGTGAGCTTTGGCCGGGGACTTTGGGCAGGGCTTTCGTCGAATCAAGACTGCGGGATAAACGTTTCGAGGTACTCTCCCTCTATTCTTGGTGCTAGCAAGTACACGTAGTGAAACATACAAAGTGCAACAACGCTCGGACACCACGAACAACCACAGTGATGCCGGAGGCCATGTTGGTGTGGGCCGCGGGAGTTGGACGTGGGATTTGGTCGCCCGCGGCCGACTTTATCCATGTTGGTACTATATACTTCGTTAACATGTCTGTTATTTACCGTATTAGTGTAGTGAACGTCAACAACTACGCACTTCAAGCAAGCTTGTCGCGGCGGAAGCCGTGTCGGTGTGGGCTGCGGGAGTTGGCCGTTGGAGATGGTCGCCCCTGCCCAAGGCTGATGCATGTACATCGTTGGCTGCCCCACTCGACAATTTACGCCACGTGGGAGACCACGACTCTCTACATGACTAATTTTGGTACTATTTGCACTGTATGCACAGTGTATATGCTTGTATTTAACCATCAATAATCTTATGCAAATCTAGGATGTCGTGTGTGTACTTGGGGGCCGCGTCGGTAATGAGTCCCGTGTTGAGCAACTGGCGGTAC